GTACGATAAAATGGCTTTTATTTCCCCCCATACAAAATTGATCCAGCCTAATGTATACTAAGGATTAATTATAATATCATTCGGAGAACATTTTGAATATTTACTTGAAATTCACGGTTATATTTGATCTTTGAAGGATTGTAACAGAATTCGCATAATGTTACATGACCACAGCGAATATATACGATTTCGCACGGATTTATTTTACAGTTTATACTGATTTTGAGATTTCCAGCATTTGGAACTCCCGAGGACCGTCAGAAGTGTATGCGTTCGAATATTCCTTAAAAAACTCGATCAAACCATCATCGAATTCGTCCTCAATTTCAATGTCCAATCCGTCTTCTTTATCATTTACTAATGAAGTTTTCTCGACTACCCTTTCTAAAGCCACCTTCGATATATTGTTCAATATTTATTTGGTCCTCTCACAATAACTTGTCGGTTTCAGAATCCCGGAATCGGTTTCAGAATGACCGGTGGCTGATAACCATCATTCATAACTCGCAAAAATTGGGTAGACAAATGTTTTCCGAATGCATCATTAGCTTTCTAAAGCCGAAGTGGTGCATTCATTCAACATTTTTTAAAAATAAAGCACACAATTAAAAAAGAACCGTATAAGGCATACGATTTCCACACACCGATTTTAACCAACAGCCTCGAAAACATTCGAAAATTTGCTGCATTAATGGAAAATAATTGAAACTCATAGCTTGTGCTACCAAAATCTTATATCTATCCATTATTTTATCTCGTGGAAAAAGTGGTAAAAATAATAATCTCATATAGATCACCTCGGCTTTCGGAAAACTGACCTTTTTTTTCAAAAAGTTTTAAGCGAAAATATCTAATTTTGCGCCGGACTTCGAGCTTTGACACTAAAATTTTAAAAAGTGGGGTTCAGCGGCTCATTTAATATACAATATTATCATGGAACTTATGTCTGACATAACTCCCATGAATCAGATCTGTGTGTGTCATACATAACTTCCATGGAACTTATGTCACGGTTTGGTGGAAGTTATGTCGAAACCCCGTCTCAGTGGATTTGCGTCGTTGATAGGCAAATTGTTTCTTGTTCACAGGCCGTTCCCTTAGGTTGATTCTCTGATATGCTGATCGAGTATTTTCTCCATGCGTTTTAAGAGAAAGGAATACAATGCAGCGACAAAAATTTCTGGTAAGAACTGTCTTCATTTTTATTATGGCAGATGCACGCTGTAAACTTTGATTTTTTTGGATTATGACACGCAGCAAACTAGTAGTCAAATATTTCTCTTTATTCGATTCTTAAAAACTTTAGAAAGTATACGCACACCGAGCAGAGCTCTTACTATCGGAATATCTCCGTTGGAGGAACCACCTAGACTTCTGATAATTTGCAAGTAATTTCATTTTGAATTACAGAATAAGTATATGAATTTTCAGAAGTGTATGTAGTGGCTAGGGCATTCAATCCCGTCCCGAAATCCCGGGATTAGAGCTCCGGGATACCGATAGTTTTATTGATTCATTAACACAGTGAAAGAGATGTGGACAACGAAAAAAAAGAATTCATCTGACATGAAACACGAGAAATACAGAACATAAAAACTTGGAACTTGATTGATTTTGAACTTGAGCCACTTGCACTTGGAAGTGAATTTCAGGACCTGCCTGAATAACTGTACTTGTTCAAATATTTTGTGCAAGAACTGTGTAATAACGAAAAATCTGGTAGCAATTGAAAACACAACAAGCTTTTAGAGTGTGACAGAGTTGTCCTTCATTTTACTTTGTTGGCCTTTTTAGGAAAAGGATTTCTGCAAATATGAGTAAATGCTTTTGACAAGTAAAATATGTAAATATTTTAGAATAAAAATATTTAAACATTAAATTACGTACTATTTTGCTAACTGGCAATCTGTGTGGTTTGAAAAAGGCGAACCTACTGTACAATGCAAAAAGTTGTGGTGAGTCGAAATCCCGAAAAATGTCGGGACCCCGGGATTAGAATTTTTAAATCCCGAATTCCCGGGATTGTTAAAATGCTTCTGAATTGAATGCTCTAGTAGTGACATAATTGTTGCCAAATTGTTTTGCCTTTTGACGGCTCTTTAACTTCCACCCAGACTTTTAACAATTTTTTTTGCCTACATTCTTATGTTATCTTCGTTTATATTGTAAACTTTCAGAACTTTTCCTAAAAAAAATTGCATGTTTAACACCCTGTAAAAGTTAAAATTTCTACTTTGCTGGGTCACCTCCACCCCTATGTAGCCAGCTCTTAGACTACATTACTGAATCCTTCGTAATTACGATTTTCGATCTACGAAAATACTATTACTGAATCCGAATAGCTACGAACGTGAATTCGAAATTCGAAGTACGAAATTTTGTTGGGCTGCTGGACGGCTATTAACAAATGCATTGTGGTCTAAAAAAAATATGGAATTGAAATTGCAAATTTATTTAATTTATCTTCTCTGAATTAACAACAAATTATACTTTCAAAGCCAATATTTCTTTCATGGGAAATGGTTGTGCGCCAAAAATTTTCCGCGGAATTTTAATTGTCCATATTCGTAAGATATTGATGTTTCCTAGCGATTAAATTCCTTACAATTTATTATCAGTTACCAATACAAAATGTATTGTCACTTAGAATACATTAGAAAGGTACTAAAAATGTATTGTTTACTTTGCTCTAGATCTCGAAACCTCAAAATGTTGCATTCGAATTTGGCAACAATGTTTGCGAGTTGCTCAGATTCAGTGATAGCAGTTTTTTTTATTCGTAGCAAGCATTCAGAATCGTAGATTTTGTACGATGGATTCAGTAACTGGCTCAATGGTATTTCGTACGGTATTAAGAGAGCGAGTGGGGGAGAGTGCAGCTTTCAATCATAAACTGAAATGAACTCAAGTAACCATTGAATGTATATAAGTATAAGGACTGTGCCGAATAAAATTGCCCGCTACATAAATGATTATATGTTTTGAACCAGATGTCAGATTTTCAAAAACCAAAACATATTATTTTAAAAGCTTTTATTTACTTTCACCAGTGTGTAATCAAGTCTTGCAATAAATTTTTAACCAACTTCCCGATAAGCTAGAGAACTGAAACTTCAAACGTAGCTCAGAACCCGATGGCAATGCAATACAAATAAAGATGAACCAGTACGCTAGGTGGCGCAGGTGCCGAGATATTTGAAAACCGCGTATTTATGGTCCGATATGGTTCACGATTGAGAGAATACAAAGGTTGCGCCGATCTCGGACCGCTATTCCTCTCTTAACGAGTTTGACAGAATCGTTGTTTGCATGACGTCACACTTGTGCAACTTGTTTACGTTTTCCTCGCAACATTTTTTTCTTCTTCTTCCATTCTTGCTCACGTTTTGGCATTTCTCGCTCGGAATTGCACCAGTCAGTGACGTCACACAAAAGTTATTCTCAAAAATCCTCTCTGATCGGCGCAATCTTGTATTCTCTCATTCTTGGATATGGTTCATATTTGCATTACATGGAAGAAAATATGTAGCTCCACAAAAAATTTTGCCGTTATGTGGCGCGAGGTCGAAATATTTCAAAACCCTTTATCTATGGTTCGATTAAGTTTATGTTTAGAATACATATTGCTTGTTTGAAAAGGAATAACTCTACAAAAAACTTTGCTGATAGGTGGCGCAGGAGTCGGTATTTGGAAACCCCGTACTTATGGTCCGATTCGATTCAAATTGGAACAAAAACAGTTTTTTCGCTTTTATTAATTTCTTAAAAAAAATTTAGTTCAATGACTTGTTTAGAATTATTAACAAATTCATATCAAATGGTAAGAAACAAGAACTTTTATTTCAACCGACTTCACAAAAGGAGAAGGTTATCAATATATATAATAAAAAACTTTAGTTTCTCTGGAACCCCGCTCATTTGCTTAGGGTAGTCTCTGACACCCTCACAGCTGCTGGAGACCACTTTCTTTAAAAATCTTGAAGGTCCTTACCACTTGTTTCTTTACCTCCATTTATCTAGTGGAAACTATAGTGGATAAATCATGTAAGCGCAGGAATGGAAGCTATCTTTTTTGTAAGCATTTCTTCGTCTATAAATCACTGTTGATCGTCCCGGACGACGCGAATGAGCCGCTTTTCGTGCCACAAATTCAGACGGCCTGCAAACAAAGATTTGCAGGGAAATTTCGTGACTTTTTTGCTCTAAAATTTTCAGCACTATTTCGGCTGTATGAAATTCTTCTCCTGGAAGGTGCCCAAAATCCACTAATACGTATTTCTCGTCGACCATTGTGAAGCGTAGGAATTTCCCGACAAAAAATTTTTATCAGCAATTTAACTCGTTCTTTTGTAGTATCGTTCATGACAGAATTTTTATCTGGAACTCTTCCACCTTGTATGTCTTCAGTCCTACTTCTTTCTTAGTTCTATACAAAAAAAGATTCTGCGAAGTTGACCTTACTTGCCAACTTCTATTCAGCAATGTTGGGATCTTTATGTAGTGTGGTAAAAATTGTATTTGCCTAATCGCAATCATGTAACCCTTTCTGTTTAGCAGAACCTTTCTTTCGAGCAATATGTCGGTTGGATTTGAACCGTTTTTGCAACCCGGAAACCTATTTTGCGATAACAACACGGAAATCTATTTTGTGGCAAACTTTAATCATATTTTCTCGCATTTACAATTTCCTTGCCATTTTCATTATTCTCTGGCATGTAATGCAGAACTAATATGGTACAAAAAAATTTAATTTGAAAATTTTATTATTACAATATGGGGAAACTGTATGACGGACAATTTTATTCGGAGTGCAAATAGCACTTTTTTGCACAGGAATGAAGTACATACGTAATGCTCATTGTGAATTTAAAGCATTTGTTGATGTTAAAATGAAAGCGTACAATTGTAGAAAAATGTGTATACGTATTCTCCTCGAAAGTCAAAATAAAATTAGGGGAAGACGCAATTGTGTTTGCTGAGAGATGGTTAATCAAAAATACCAATATGATTTCGATGATGCTGTGTTTGCCCAAGTAATAAAGCATTCTCACTCTCTTCAGGATTATCGCTGACTCCGGCATATACACTCATATCTGCTTCACCTTCACATTCCACATCATCGCAATCTTCCTCCTGCTGCGGAAATGAAAATGTCACATTAATCGGCCGTGCCAATTTATTCTTATACTGATGTTCAAAAAGTATTGGATTGTAAAGTGTGTTCTTCCACTGCCGGCTCAGCACAATGACGCCCTAAAATGAGTAAGTTTCTTCATATTAATTGTCATAAGTAGTTTTGTGTCGAGCAGAAACAAACCTGACGCAACGTATTCAAATGTGGCACGTCACTTTTCTGGAAGATTTGCTCGACTTTTTGTACACCTTCGTCTAGCACTAGTTTTTGCATTATAAAGCAGAGTTGACAACTCGGATCCTCTTGTAAAGTTTTCGAAAGCAGCGTGTAGTTGTTGACATAGCGACTCTGTGATTCAACCGAAGGAAATTATAAATGCTTCACCACTTGTATTTTCGAACTATTCAAACCTTTTTGATTTTGGGACTGCGCTTAATTTTTTCGTTATCCAACGCATCTGCCATTAGACAGGCGGCTATGGCGGTTTGGCGCGTATGCAAGGCCCGCATTAGTGATACAATTTTAATAGCTAAGCGGTTGCTGGGGTTCATCCAGGCAGTGATGGCGGGAGAAGCTGTGCTCAGAAGATTCCAATCTAGTCTGGAAAGTAGCGACATAATAAAAAATAATAATGAACTAGCGTACCCGGTAAACTTCGTCTCGCCCAAAACTAATTTTTTTGTTGCAACATTTGGTTCGGTTTTCTACCCAATTTAGCCGGTCGGCCCAAAAAGTTCTAGCAACACTGCTCACAGTACTGAGTTGAGTATACTCTGTATACTCACTCGGCTAGGCCAAACGAGTGAACGAGGAAGGCGCGCTCGGAGTGTACTATACAACAAATGCCATTTTGTGCATAAAAATGTGTGAATCTATGTCAACAGATTATGTATGAATATATCACGACGTAGAGCAAAGGAGCTTTTTGGAAAACACAATCGTCCACACTGAACATTTTGAGTTAACTTTGACGGTTGTTTGATTACCAATAAAAATTCGAAAAAAAAATATTCAAAATCAAGTGTGTTTCAATTTGTTTTGTGCGAATGTCTGCTTCATGATATTAATGCATACGGATTACTTAGAGACTTTAAAATATTTAGTTCGTATGCACTATTTATCTCTGCGTACGAAGATACCTGATGGGAAATAACTAATTACCGGCTTGGCCTCTATTTTGGTGGGGAGACATGCATACAATATTGATATTTTTTGATAGTTTTAAATTTAATATTTTTGAGAATATAAATTTTTTGAACGCTGGCGTGTCAAATGAAAGCTTTTGGGTCTTTCTGATTGGCCGGAGCAGAAAGCTTTCTGATACAACTCAAACGAGTTAAATGATTTAACTGGTTCAATTTTCAATTTAACTTGTTTATGAACATGTTTTGTTCATTTAAGGGTGGTATGTAGCTCTCAAGAAATCGGTCAAGAAAAATTTGCCATTATTTCGTGTGTGTGTCCAAGGAATTTTGACATTTTTGATACTTCACAGCCTGTTGCCTCACTCTTTCCTCAAGAACAATGGAAAATTTCTTAGCCATTTCTTGTACGTCATTTTGTATGGAATTTTAGCTTTTCTTGAGAACTGCATACAGGCCTTTAACTGGTTCAAGCCAATTTAACATTTTTAGCTCGTCAGTTTGAACGTAGTATTATTTATAGCCATTATTAGTATTATTATTAGTAGCCATGATAAAAAAATAAGAAGGTAGAACCGCTGAGAGGAATTTTTCATATTCTTGACGTTTGCAAGCATTTTAATTTTAAAATTTTAGACACAAGCTCACACACACATTCTCATTTTCAATCTCAAACAACAACAGCTTTGAAAAATTCCTTTTTTTTACTCTCAATTTTATATGATTTTAAAATGTTGGCCGACGAATTGAGAGAACGGTTTTACCAAGGCATATTCAACAAGGTAGAAGTGAAAACAGAGAAATTAACCCTTTGTTATGCATTTACCATATTTGATAGAACTCAACATCTTTGAAATGAAAGTTTTTGTAAATATGAAAATATTTAAAATCTCATTAGAATCAGCTTCATTTTATTTATTGAATTTTGGGTTTAATGTAAATATGGGAATGCATACTTACACAAAATTACACACTAAATGAAACACACTCATTTATAAAACCGTTTTGACAATTTTCTTGCTTTTACTATCCCAATGTTTTTGAGCATTTATTTTTTTATTGAAATACTTATTAAATTTTTGCTATTCGAAATTTCCTTTCCATTAAATTTATTAAAAATTACTTTCAGTTTCTTTATGTCAACAAGGAATACTGGTTTAGGTTTTATCAGACCACCATTTGAAGTTTGGCCTATCCATGTATGTATATGAAAGGGAGATTTTCTTTTCATATTCGGTATGATAAATCCTGCACCTGGGACCAAACGCGTCCACTTAGAAATACTCGGCTGCGATGGGCAACAAATAAAGTCTCGACCACACGTGAAGAGTCTCCTAATGAAACATCGCAGCAATTTGCCCACCGTTGCCGCTTCACTTGACAATCCGAATGTTTAAAATAACGCACAAGTTTTTTGTCCAGGCTCTTGACAAACACAACGCACCGCTCGCAATTCCTTTTCTTTTTATATGTATTTGAAATCAGTCGCACAGCTCACAATTGAAAATTTATATAAAAAAAAATTTTTGAATAGTATAGGGTTAAGAGTTGACATTTCAGTCGCAGTTCAAAAGAGAGAAATGTCGAAATCCCTTCTACCTTGTTATGCCTTGGGTTTTACCTTACTATGTTTTTATCATGGTATTAGCTTTAAGTTTATTGGGAGCTTTGACAATTTTTCCCTGAAATCATTTGACGCTGAGAGCTTGCTGGTGTATTTGTTTTTAACCGGCTTCACAAAAAGAAGAAGGTTATCAATTCGTCGGAATATTTTTATTAGTTTTTTTATGTATGTTATCGCATAACTTTGGACCACGTTAACCGATTACTATAATTCTTTTTTTTTTTTTAAAGACAAGTGTTACCTCACAGGTGGTACCATTCAAATTTGGTTTAAATCTGATCATTGGATCATGAAAAGATTAACGATAATCTTAAATTCTTATATGGGAATTGAAGTCGGTTTTGTTTTTTGCTTAAAAATTACTTGTTTATGCAAGCATTTGTTGAAAATGCAGTCTCACATAGAAATGTAAAAGTAAAAGTCACTCGCATTTTTAGTGCGATCTTGCCAACAGAAGTGTTTTCTTCATCTAGATTCTAGAACTCTCTTGGCCCCCCTTCGTAGCATTTAATATTCAAAGTGCTGTCTTCACTGATATCCAGAAGGTTTTCAAAAGCTTAATTTGTCATCTCAGTAGGTTTACTTTTCGGGTCGCATGAAAACGGGTTTGTTATCCAGCTGTAGACATCCTCAGAGTCAATGTTGGAAAAATATTCGACAAAGCTTTTTTCTAAACCTTCCAAGTTAACGCTGGTAATGCGCGTTAACGCTAAGAAAACAACTTTTACAGGCAATTTCACAAAAGCAATTTAAGTGAAAAATGGTTTTAAATTTTGGAATTTTATATGGAAATTGACAGAAAATAAAAAATAATTTCCCATTTAAATTGCTGGTGGAACCGAAGTTACATACGTTTCACTGATCTAAGCTTGCTATACAGTTGAATGCGAGCGCTAGCGTGAACGTTCGCAAAGGCAAAATGCGCTGGCCCAATGCAGGCTTGCTTTGCTTGCTTAGCTTTGAAAACTGTCAAAAGTTATTTGGAATAGACTAAAACGTATGAAGGGTGGTCAAATGGCAGCTTTGCTTCACTTGCTTTAAGCGCCTCAAAGTTTCAAATAGGCAAATGTTTTATTTGAAAGCGTTTCGTGGGCTTTTGACAAAAAGATATGTTCCCGTTATAAATCAATTCAAACAAACTGCTGCAGACTTTTATGTACAAAAATTGTCTTACGTAATTTAAAAAAATATATGTATAATATTAGTAATTCAAAGTTTAATAAAAAGTAATCTATGCTTCCATATTTATATTTAACATGTCGCTGGCTTAAAGTGAAAAGTTGCTAAGTCCCATTTTACAAATTTTACAGGAACTTTGAATACAACATTTTGCGTGTTTAAAGCAAAGCAAAACTCCATAAAAATCAGAAGGATTCGATCTCTGTTAAAAAATTTCGTATTATTTTGGCCTTATTGCATATTCAGGGCCTCTTTTGGACTTATAAAATTTATCTTTCATTGAATATAAACGAGAAAAAACAAAACAAGTACCTTAGTCCTTAATTTCTCTTACATTCTATGTCAAAATTTGAGGCTTCATAAAATGCAGACTTATCAACTTTTCACACAAAGCTAGCGATATTTATGATGTCAAGCTACTGGTAAGTCGTCTCTTGAAAAATCGATTTTTTTTTGAGTTTTTTGTTTCTAATAAATGTACATATATGTAGTAATATATGTATGTATAATTGTTATCATTCCTTTGAAATGCAAAAATTAATTCACATTCATTTAAAAATAAATCTGAAGGGATGGTTTTGTATTTCTTTTTTTTTAATTTTCTGGAATTTGATGGCAAAATTATTCTTAGTGTAAGGAAACAGACCTTGACTTTTTGGCCCCTATTATGAGTTGCATTCGATATTCGCGTTAGTTTCATTGTCACTTTTCGGGCGCCATATTAACTACCTGACAATTAAGCAGATTGTGACATTTCGTGCTAAAATACGTAGTCCCAAAAATATTTTTTTTGTCAAAAATAAATAAATCACAAAATGAACAGAAAATTTGTCTTTGTTGCGAGCAGCTAGGAAAATTAAAATTTATACATGTGCACCTCTTTATATTTGCAACAAAAGCAACCTTCCGTGAAATTAAAAAAACGCAAAAACTATTTAGTATTAAATATACATTTGTATTCATTATAAAGCCAATCATGGTAAAAGGATTTGGACACAATAAAGTAGATGTGCTTCGCAAACGTTAATTTGGAGTAAAATTAACGCCCAAGTAAGTCTTTAATTTACTTCGTACCTTGTAAGAAGAAGGATCGGATTGGTTCTTCATGTTGATAAACGATTTAGCATGTAATTTACTTTTCGTATATCCAGTTACTCCTAATCGAACTTCATCGCAGAGCAATGGAGGGCCCTGGTGCTACAGGTCCCCGAGCAGTTTCCTTTGTGTAGGTTTGTGTAGGGAATATATGCTACCGGTGAGCTCTTAGAATTTCAATGCGAGGAGCGCCAACCTGCTGTCAGATATGGTTCAGTGGCACAAACCTCAGACTCACAGCGTGTCAAAATCGGCCATCTAAGTTAAATGCTAAAATTCCTGCCCTGCACCATGGCCCACAGTTTTACATAGATTACAGTTTTTGAAATGTTTGAAGGAACTAAGACAATTTTGGTCAAAATGAATGGACATTTACTCCTTATTGCTCCAAATTATCTATTTACAATTTGCTAATCAATACCAAAATAAAATTAGAAAAAAATCCAAAAGTGTTCTTTTTTAGGATAACCTTTTTTAGAATAAGATACTTGAACAGAAAAATAAAGGAGTGTAAATATTTAAATATCTGCAAAAGTGTAAATAAAATTATAACCTAAATT